TCTATTTAGTGTTAGGTATCCAGTGTCTATAGAAATACCTTCTGGGTATTATTTATTTTCCCAGTTCTTAACATATTCCTTTATATCGTCAATAATTAAATTATTTATTTTAATTTAGTATATAGTATTAATTAATTAAATTACTAAGTTACTATACTAATTTTTCTCTAGTATTTGTGCTTTAACTTCCGGTATTTCTTAGAAGTAGTCTAGGCGTCTGCTGAGTATATTAGTGCGTCTGTTATCTAATCCGCTGTAGTATTTAATAATAAGCTTAAACTTAGAAAGTCGCTTATAGTACTTAACTTATTTATAGGATAATTCTTATATTATTATAAAGTAAGTAATATTCTAGTGATCCATAAGGATTATTATTAGAAATCAACTTCCTTTACAGTAATATCTCTAATATTACTTACTAAGCGCTTAATATATAGCTAGAAATTCTTTATTGTAAATAGGATATTTAAGTTCTGGTTTATGTAGTTTCTTAGAGAAATAGGTAATAGGCCTGAGTTTCCCTTTTTTATCTAGTTAGCTAAGTACTCCACCGATTATATAATCCGAGGCGTTAGTTTTAATTATAATAGGTTTATTTAGGTTAAATATTATAAGTACTAGTGTACTTATAAAAGCTCGTTTAAGGCGTTTAAAGGCTGTTAGAGCGTCTTGTGTTAATTCAAATTTAACGTCTTTCTTTATTAAGTCTATAAGTAGCGTAACGATTTTTAAGAAGTCCTTAATAAAACGTCGATAGTAATTAGCAAGTCCTAAGAAGCTTTATACTTACTTAACGTTCTGCGGTAGTTCTTAATCATTAATCGCCTTAAGTTTCTTAAGGTCTATCTAGACTCTGCCTGGGGTAATAATATATCCTAGGAATATAACCTTCTGTATGTAGAAGTTGCATTTCTTAGGTTCCACTAGGAGTTTATTATTTTAAAGTATTTATAATACCTTCTTAACGTATTCCTTATGCTCTTCTAAGTTCTTGGAATAAATAAGGATATTATTAAGGTATATAATAACGAAATAATCTATATAGTCTTATAATACGTAGTTGATTATTTTCTGGAATATCGCAGGGGCGTTGGTTAATCTAAACTATATAATATTACATTTATATAATCTGTATCTGGTTCTGAAGGCGGTTTTCTATTCGTTGCCTTTCTTTATGTAAATAAGGTTATAGGCTCCTTTAAGGTCTAATAAAGTGAAGACCTTGGCTTCTGTAAGCCGATCTCTGATTTCCGAAATCAGTAGTAACAGCGTAATATCTTTCTTAGTTATTACGTTTAATTATCGGTAATTTATAATAAGTTAAAGTTTACTGTTTTTCTTAGGTATAAATATAACTGGGGCTCCTGCTAAGGATTTAGAAGGTTAGATATAGCCCTTCTTCAGCTGGTCTCTAATCTATTTATTAAGTATTTTAAGTTCGGTAGTACTTAGGTTATAGATCTTATTAAACGTTAGGACTTTATTATCTATAAGCTTAATCTTATAATCCCATTGACTATATTCTAGTAGTCCGGTGTTAAGTTCTTCGTTAAAGACTAGTATATACTAGAGGTCTATTAATACGTTCTTTAAATATTCTAGTGTCTGTTAGTCTCAGTGGTATAATTCCTTAACCTTTTATATAATTAAGTTTAAAAATCTAAGCTGTTTCTTTTTAGGTTTCTTAATATATTTAATTATTCTTGGGAGCTTCTTTAGCTCCTTAAATCGTACTTATTTTATAACTTTTTTCTTTTTTATATATTTTTGTATTTTTTTATTTAATATAGGGGTTACTAATCCTATTGTTGGGGATATCGTAGCATCCTGTTGATCCTCCTGATTTAGTTATAGTGTATTTCTGAAACTAATTGGTTTAGGGCGAGTTTACTACTTTACCTAGCCTCTGATTTAGTTAATATTAGGGTTATGTAACTTAAGCTAATTATATCCTAAGAGTATATTATATCCTGCAATATTAGTAATATTAAAATTAAATATATCCTTAATTTTACTAAACTAAATCTCGAGGAGATTAGTCTTACGGTTAATAGTTCTATTATTATAGGTAAATTATTGTTTTTTAATATTTACAAGGGTATATAGTTTCTCCTTCTTACGGTTGTCTAACTATAGGCGGTTAACTAGTTAAGGCGTAATATAGCTTATCGTAGCTCCGGAGTCTATATAGACTGTGATTGGATGTTTTTTTAAGGTGCCTGGTACTTGGAATTTTTATAGTTTCTTTCCTCCTGTAAGGGTATTTAGGTTATAGTAGGTTGTATTATTAGCGCCGTTGTAATAATTATTACCATAAGGGTTAATATTAATGTCGTCTAGGTCTAAGGTGATCTATCCTGGTTCTTTGTTTTAAATGTTATAGCGTTTGTACTAGGTGTATCTAGGCTTGGGTACGTGTCTAGTGGTAAGCTTGTGGTATTTCCGAAGGTTGTTCTAGCTGATTCCTTGTAGCTCGTCGTCGTTACTGTGCTTTATAAGGTTAAATCCTTGCCGTTCCAGGTTGTGGGTGATATATGCGAGGGCTTGGTGTTGGTACTAGTGTTTCTTATAATAGTCTTTATTACAGAGCGTGAATTCCTTTTGTCTGCATTCAGCAGCTCCGTAATCCTTATACTATTCGTTAAGCTTAGTTATAATATATTATTTATATAGTAGTAGCTTATAGTTAATAATATTAGCTTTGTTATATTGGTTGGTGAGTAGGATGTCGTTGATGTAGTATAGGATTGATTCTAGTGTTTTGGCTATTGGGTATTCGTCTGCGTTAGTCTTAATGTATTATTGAAACTGATTTCCGGGTAATTGGATCTGGTCGTAGGTGGTATTTAGATTAATCTGTTTGATCTGTCCCTATTGTTTAAGGAGCTTCTGGTGGTCCTTAAGTTCCTTCTATTATACGATTTTGTCGTAGCGTTTATTTTCTTTAATAACACTTTATATTCTATATTAGTCTTTGTATTATTCCTAGTCTATTATAGTTATTTTACAGGGGTGGTAGATGCTTTTGGGTTCCACTGACCTATATTGGTTGTATATACGTTTCTTAAGGTCGTTGATTTCTTCCTAAGGTATTCCTTCGTAAGGGTTATATTACGTCGGAGGCGCTATGTCTGGAAGATCCTTGTTTATTTGTTTGTTTGTTTGTTTGTTTTATTATTAACGTCCACTAAGTAATCTAGTTACATAAGTCCTCATCTAGGCACTAGGACGGTAGGAGCCGCCGAGTTCAGATCGGGCGTTCGCTACGTTTCAATGTAACAAAGGAAAAGGGGATATATTAATCTATTTTACGTATCTGTTTCTATAGGGGGGGGGCTATATAGGCTTATATCCTCCACTAATTTCTAAAAGTCCTTATACCCTCCGTTACCAAGGAGGTATTAGATATAGGTGGTTCCGAAGTACGCTTCCCTCTTTAGTACGTCGGGGAGGAAAGGGGCTACTATACAGTACTTTACAAAATATCCTTATATCTTTAGTTCCCTGTATTTACAGGTGGGCCTGGCGTTATATCCGAATCTCTCGTAGTATTCTGTAAAGTCCCTGTATCTAGATTTTTTAGCTAGCAGCCTGTGTAGGATTAGGCGTAGGAGATGTAGTTTAGGGGGTATAAAGGAGGCTTTATAAAGGCCCTATCTACTAGCTTTATAGGACTCTGGGTAGTTGCTTTCTTAGTCAGTATCCTATATTTCCTTATATTTCTTTTTTACCTACCTTTTAATAAAGGTAATAGTAGAGCAGTTTCTTAAGAGGCAAGGGAGTTCTAAATCCTCCTTTGCCAGTTGGTCGGCTTCTTCGTTTCCTAGTATGTTTTTGTGGCCTAGGACCTAGGCCACCCTCGTGGTTATTTGTAGAAGTAGTTTCTGGGTGATTTAGCGTAGCCCTATATAGGCTCCTTAGGATGAGGCAGGAGTTGGCCCTAGTATTCCATCTACTACCGCTAAGTTATTTAGGAAGAGCAGAATCTTTTGGATGTCTGGGTTTGTAAGGGCGTGTGTCCTGGTTAACTTTATAGCTTTAAAGGTGCCTACTGCCTTGGTGTTATAGACCTCTGCGTTAGTAAGGGGACTGTATGTTGTAGTTCTTTTGAAGTTATAGTATATAACGGCTCCTTAGCTTATATTATTTTATTTATTTTATAAGCCGTCTAAGTAAGTAAGGAGGGTGGACCTAGGGAGGCTGTTAAGTAGTTCTAGGTGTTTTTCTGCTGCCTCTGACTTCGGTAGGCCTCTGAAGTCTGGGCCTGCTTAGACTACTTTATTATTTTTAGCAAAAAAGGAGGGTTAAACTATTTTCCCTACTAGGGCTGCGGTGTATTACAGTTAGGTAGGGGGAACCCTAGGTGGGAGTTTCTTATTAATACATCTGCTAATTAGGTAGTTCCTGTTTAGGCTTACGAAGCGAGCTGCTGTACGGAGTCTAGTTTATACTACTTATACTAATACTGGGGGGACTCCCGATTCTCTGTATATGACGGAGAGGTTGGTCGTTTTCTATATAGGGACGACTGCTCTGGCTGTTGCTTTAAATAGGGGTTCTAGGATTGCGGTTAGTCCTACTAAGCCTGTTCCTACTTGTTTATTTAGGTTCGTCGCGCTTTATCTACTTTCGCTGGGCTAAAACGCCTCTGTCCTGTATAAGGCTACAGGGGTAACGTAGGCCTTAGCTGCTATAGCTACTGCGTCTGGCGGGGATCCTTTTTATATTTTATTCAGGGATCTTAGGAAGTTAGCCGCTTTAAGGGCTTTCCCCTTTATAATCTTAAGGTGTTTTTTAAAGGAAAGCTGCAAGTCTAGGTATATCCCTAGCTACTAGACTAAGTCCTAGGGGGCTATAGTCTTTCCTCTAAAGTCTACTCCTTCGTTATATATTTAGGTTCTGGTCCTATAGAAGTATATAAGTTTAGCCTTATCTAGGTTAAAGGAGACCGCGTTCCTATTACCTTAGTTTAGGGTATTTTCTAATTCCTACTAGAGCTTTTAGGTGGTTTTTTTAGTATTAGTCCCTACTACTATAATACTAATGTTGTCTGCGTACCTAAAGTAGGTGTTAGGGTTGTTGAGCTTTAGGCTAGGGGAGAAATAGAGTATAGAGACGATAGGGGAGATAGGGGACCCCTGTGGGGCTCTGTATTCCAGCTCCGTCTCCGGGAGGGTGGTCCCGTAGCCGTTTTAGATAAAAGCCTTACGGTTACTTATAAAGGAGCCGACCTATCTTATAAAGAGGGGGGGCTACCTTTGTTCCTTGAGTTTGTAAACTAGGCGGTTACGTATAATAATGTTAAATACGCTGGAGATATTAAGTATAAGGAGGGAGATAACGAGACCCTAGGCTAGGGCAACTTCGGCATTATATAGTAGGTAGGCGACTAGGTCTGTCGCAGACCTTTTTAGGAGAGTCCTAAAATATTATTCTAGTAGTATTTTATATTCTATTACTAAGAGGGAAACTCTTCTGGCTAGGAGTTTCTTAAGGCCTTTGCCTATGTAGGAGAGTAGGGAGATAGGTCTGTAGCCTTTATATATAGTATACGCCTTCTTTAGCTTCCTAGGTTTAGGGATAATAGTAATCTCTATACTCCAGAAGGGGAGTAGGTAGTATCCTATTATTAAACATCTGCGGAAAAGGTTAGTTACGTATTTGCCGATAGTAAGCTAAGTGAGCTGTAGAAGGGCGACTAATATATTATCTACGCCGGGCGCAGTGTTTTTTAACCCTGTTATAGCTTTCTTAGCTTCTGACTTCGACACTGTTTAGTCCCAGTGGATGTTATTATTAATAGAAAAGTCCTCTTCCCATAGGTCTAAGATATCTTCCTCTGTTGTCTTATGCTTAAGAAGCTTATCTCTAAGGAAAGTTGCTTTTTCCATAGGGTCTAAGATACTTTTATCCTCGTTTATTAAGGGGGGCGGTTAAAAGCAGTCCGTTGCCTTATGCTACTTAGCTACTAACTAAATATTCCTAGTAGCATTAGCTTTTACTATAATCTTATCCCAGTGGGCTTACTTACTACGGTATATAAAGTCTTTAAGGGTCTTACGGGCTCCCTCTTAGGCAGGGAAGCTGTCTGCTGCTTCTTTATAGGCTTTATAGGCTGCTTTATACTTCTCCAACTACTATAGTACACTGTGGCCGTTCTAGTGTCTGGTTTTGCCGGCCCCCTTTATAGCTTATTTAAAAAGGTCCTGCAGGGCCTTAGCGTATTTATTAAGGTTAGTTTCTAACGGTATAGTTAAGTCGACTGTGGGGAGGGTTTAAGTAAAGGAGCGTATAAGTTGGCCGAAGTTTTCTTAGTATTCCAGCAGAATATATTTTTTCCTTACCCCCGGGGTTATCCTAAGGGGCTTGGGCAGGTTTATAATTACTATATAGTAGTCCGACCCTATGTTAAGGGAGTATATAACCCTGGTTAACGCAGGGCAGTTTATAAAGACTAAATTAATGCATTTTCCTAAGTGTTAGGTAGGCGTATTTATTAAAGCTGGGAGGAGATTATACTTCTCCGCTTATTTTGCGATTTTATTACCTACTGGGTCTGCGCCCCTGCCCGGTTCCTAAAGTTAGTGTAAGGCGTTAAAGTCGCCTGTAATAATTAAGCAGGGGGGGGGAGGGCCCTATTTAGTAAGGGTCTTTATAGCTAAGTCTACTAAAGCCCTTTAGTAAATGTTAATAATAGTATAACTGTATACCTTTATCTAGTATATGTATTTATCCTTTAGGCCTAAGGGAAAGAGTTATTTACTAGGGAGGTTTAGAGAGATTCTAATAAATGTAAGAACTAAGGGTTTAGTATCCCTTTAACTATTTAGGGGGTTATATACTTAATATTTAAGGTAATTTTTAATTTGCCTTTTGTTTAATACCCTATTTTATTAGGCATAGGGTTCCTGGATTAGTATAATGTTATAGCTACCTTTTTATATTAGTAATAGGGTGATATCCTAGTATAGACTGCTCCTCCTGACGTTAGCTTAGAAGATTTTAAGGCTAGTGTTTCTTCAGCGGCTGCAATGGGGCCTATCGTTTATAGGCTTGCGTTAAGAGGTCCGTCAGTTCTAGGGGGGGCGTTAAGTATATTTTCGTCACCTTCGGCTTCTTCCTCTTTATCATCTAGGCTAGCTACGTAGACTACCGACCTAGCGGGGGAGGTTCCCTCGTGGGGGTCTTCCTTGTCTAAGTTAACTTTAACGATAACTATTTTAACCAGAGCCTGAGGGAGGAAGGGTGGAGCCGAGTTAAAGATTAGCAGCTTTATATAAGGGCCTATTTAGGTCTTCGGGTTTAACGTTTTCTTAACATTAGGGGCCAGGGCGGGTTTAGGTTTAGGTTTAGGTAGGTTAGCTTTATTATATTCCTACTAGCCTAATTCCCAGATTACCTAGAGTTAGGCTTTAGTTATCTATACTTTTTCCCCGTTCCTGACGACCAGTCTAGTAGGGTACTTTAGGGAGTCCGCTATATAAGGGCCGTTATAGTTAGTATACTAAGGCGGGGACGAGTAATTAGCTATAGTATTATTATATCTAAAAAACAGTTTACTATATTTATAGTACCTTTTAGTCCTAGTGTAATTCCATAGGTTATAGAATCTAAAGTACTGCAGGCATTAGGTAACCCAAGGGGGCTGGACCTGGATTTCCGCCGGGAAGGAGCTGCTGAAGAGTTTAAAGCTGGGTTTAACGTCCTTATTAAAAAAGATAAAATAGCTATACGTATTAAGGGATTCTCCGAAGTTGGCTTTACGGCAGGAGATAGGTAGGCTTTTAGCCCTTGCCCTGGTGCATGCCTCCTCTGGGATTAGTACGTCTGTAGGGTAGGTCTTGCTTATGTTAGTATATATCTTTAATACGCTGCGTATAAGAAAAACCTTCCACGAATATACTTCTTTAATTTTTAGACTGTTGTTCTCTGCTACTAGCTAAAGCGTGATAATTTTGTTTTTAATATCTTAATTTTTGCCTCTAAGGGTAAAGCCTGATTGGACCTCTTAGAAGTAAGTAATATCCTCGTTTATAAACTTTAAAATTCTAATTAGTTTTTATTTAGCCCCAATAGCCGATAGCTTTCTCTATATATAGTCTAAAGGGACTTAGATAAAAATACAGTTATCGGGGCTTTCCTTAGGTTTATTAGTTTTATCTATGTTCTTTCCGTTAGTAGCAGGGGCCAGCCCTCTACTGCCTATAGAGGAATACTTTAGGTTATTAGTTCCCTTCTAAGGGTTTTTATTATAAGTGTTTTCTTATAACGTAATCTATGCCTACGTAACCCTAGGGTCCTTCTGGCCTGCTTTTCTAGTGGACGCAGGAGCTCCTGCTATAGTAGGGGTCCTGGCGGTATTTAATTTATCCTTTTTATTATAAAATGTATTAGCTAACGTTATCTTAGTTAGTTAAGCAGCTCTTTTTTTACTACCTAATTTCTCAGGGTCTTTAGGCCTCCCCTTAAGGTTAATATAGGAGGCAATAAAGTTTTTAAAAGCAGTATTTAGGTATAAGCGGACTTATTCTACTACCGCTAAAGAGAGCTAGGAGGTATATTATACCAGGCAGGAGTCGATAGCTATAGCTATATTTAATACCACATCTTATCTAGCCCGCTGTTATACATTAATTTCATTAATTTGGTTTATAATTTTGTTCTTAGTAAGGGATTTCCCCTTTTTATTTAGGTCGGTGGCTTCCTTTATACTGTTGAAGATAGAGGCGATAAGGCCTCTTGAGGCTATTTACGCCGCAGTCACTGTCGCCGCTGCGCTCAGTCTTACTCTATTAAAACTGGGCGAGGGCATTTTATCCGCACTAAGGGCTTCTCTAAAGCATCTTTTCTTCTTAGGGGTAAAGGGGAGGACCGTAACCTCTCCCGTTTTTAAGCCTAAGGGGGTTACCTCCTTCAGTAGTTAAAAGGCTATTGCTAATCCAGGGGCAACGGGTTTCGTTCTATTCTAGTTATCTAAAGGGTTTGCAGATATTTCTATCTCTCCAGGGTCCCCAGATAAAACCGTAAATAAAAAAATTATAGTCGTTTTATCTAATAGCTAGTTAAACAGGTGGGAGTTTTTAGTAGTTAGGCACCTAAAAGGTGGGGTACCTGTAGATGTAGGAGGGAAGCTTGTCTGGAAGATCCTTATTATACTAGTGTATGGCTTTATTTTATTTCTATTCTTGGAGTACCTCTTCCTTATCCTTAAATTTGTTATTTTGTTTTTGCTTATTGAGGTTTTATTAAATAAGTTGTTTAATGTAGCTGAGGTCCTCCTGGGTAACTTCTTTAAGCGTGTTTAAGGTTTATGTATGCCCTTTGGGGTACTATCCTAATCCTTGTTTATTACTGCGATAGGTCTAACAGTTATTATTATAGTACGCTAAGAAGTATAGGATATTATAGTCTTCTAAGGGTTATATAGTATTAATGGCTTGGTTTTCCTTAGGCTCTGGGATAGGCGTGAATTTTTTATTTCCTGTCTTTTTAGCGGGCTTTTAATAATACTTTTTTATATATCCTTTTTCTCTGCAGTTATAGTATTTAACGTTCTTACGTTAAGCCTCGATAATACTAAGGTCTATTAGGCCTGGTCGTCTATCATTAGAAGAGGTAATATAGTTATTTTACTTCTTTCCTTAGTTAGCTTAGTATTCTTAAGTTTACTTAGGTTGGACGTTATAGAAGTTCCCGTTCTTTTCTCGCTTCTGTTCTTTCTATTGTTCCTAATTGCGATTATTGATCTCGATAGCTTTTTAGGTATAGTCAGTGAAGGTTATCTTTTTACGGTTAATTTTAAAGAGTTTATCCTTAACTTTAGGTTTTACACTATTATAGTAGACTTCCTTCTTTATTTCCTTAGTCTAGTTAACTTTAGTTAACAGGCGTAGGAAAGTTAAAGTATACTTACTTAGTGGTCCTTTTTAGGTAATAAAATAAAGTTCTTACTTAGCTTTTTATTATTTATCTACAGTACTAAAAGACTTTCTAAGTTATTCCTAAAATTCCGCATACTTAGTGTAGATTTCTTTAGTTTACGTTTTAAGCTTTTTTAAATTAATCTTTCCTTCCTTATAATTCTATATAATAGGTCGGAACCATGTTTTAGCGTCTTCTGCAAGGCGGCTGCCTGCGAAGATGACTCTGTCTTCGTCATCCTTTAAGGTATAAGGGAAGTATTTAAAATAGGTTGCAAGTTCCGAGAAAAATTTGTCTATCTTGCGTAGATCTCCGTCAAAGGGTTCGGGCTTCGTCGATTTAATAACCTTACCCTTCTCTTTTTTCCTATCTTAAAGGTCCTAAAGCTGGGTCTTAAGAGCTTTAAACTCGGCCTTTAATTTATCGTAATTAGCTTAATTGGCCATGTTTTCGGCTGGTGTGTCTTTAAGCTTAATATCGCTGTTGTAATTACTTTAAGCTTTATTTTTATAATTAGTGTTGTTATCTAGAACTCTGAAGCTTATAAGCTGCTGAGTTCCTAGTGTTTTATTGCCTGTAGGTCTAAGGTGACCGTCTGAATAAGAGTTATTATTATATAATGAACCGGGTCCTATAGGCACTATAGGTTAGCTGTTTCCAAGGGATAAACCTTAAAGTGGTTCTATGGTTTATGTTGGCGGAGCGATTAGGTCGGTAAACGGGCAATCTTATCACCAGCTAGTAATATAAATAAGAGTAGATGTCTAAGTTTTAATCTGATTGTATTGTAAACGCTGTGATAATAACTAGCTATCTAGGTATTCTAATGAGTGATATGAAATGGACTTATATATCCAGTTGTGTATTCTGGATTGTGTTGGAAAGCTGGCTTTCCTAGCTTTCCTATGGTGGATTATTTAGAAAGCTAGCTTTCCTAGCTTTTCTGTTAGGGAATGCTAACAGTCCTAATTGGCCTGTCGGCCTATAGTTAATTCGGTTCCGGCCAACCTGTTGGCCTATTGTTGCAACCTTAAGAGTCGGGTCGTGATATTTATAATAAAGATTATTATAAAAAATACTAATATTAATACTAAGCTTTTATATATATTATCTATAACCTAGAATAATAAAGATTTAACTTTATAAAGTATAGTAATAATAATAAACTATAAAAGATTAACTAAAGTAACCTTTAGAAATATTATAAGCTTACTATTAAATATATACTTAAGCTTAAATATACTTAATATAAATACTATAATATTTAAAATAAAAAACTAAAATAAATTACTTTAGACCTAGATAATATTAATATTAACCCTTATAGTAATAATTATTATAATAGTATTAATAATATAACCTATTATAATTTAAATACCTTTATAAAAGGAAAGAAATTATAAAAATTTTAAGTACTAAATACTTTAGAAGGATATTTAATTATAGTTTATATAAACTCTAGAGTTATAATAAGCTATATTATACTTTAATTAGTTAACTACCTATAGTTAAATAATTATAAAAAGGAGAAATTATATACCTTTATAAATATTAAAAAATAATAATTTACTTATAATAATAGAATTATTAATTATAAGACTAATCTCCTTAAAATCTAGTTTAGTAAAATTAAAGATATATTTAATTTTAATATTATAAATATTATAAAATATAATATATTTTTAAAATATAATTAGCTTAAGTTATATAACTTTAATATTAACTAAATTAAAGGCTAGGTAAAATAGTAAACTTACCTTAAATTAATTAATTTTAAAAATATA